GTGGTGCGCTCACCTTCGGCAGGAGGCAGATGCTGGCACTCCTCTGCTTGTGAAGCTCCACTCTTCAGCGAGAATTTCTCTTCTAGAAGGCAAACGTTGCCCAGCCTCTGCCCCTCCTGATGGGCTTCACCACCAGGTTTTGTAGCACTGTCTGCTCTGAAACCTCTGACACCTTTGGCTGCGACCCGTGGCGCGCGGGATGAGCCGTACGCTGTTGTCGCTCCTCCTTACTGCTGTAATGATCGGTGTTGAAGGATCACACCACAGATACACGAAAAATAAATTCCTTTTCTCCGTAGAATTTACCTGTGATTGTCAAAGGTGCTTGGGGACTGGGTGTGAGCATACCTGAGGGTGAGGGGACGGGGTTCTGCGGGAAGAGCTGCTGTGGTTAAAACTAACTTGAAAGATTGGGTAAACTTGTTTAAAATCTTGTCCAAATATTGCGAAAAAAGCCTGACTCCAGTCCAAATGCTAACATCTGTGTTTGGCAGTGACTTGAATGCTCTTGACTTGGCCCCGACTTCACTTATCGCTGTCGGACTTTGCCCTCTCCCTGGATTTCACCCTCAGCTGCAAACTCCGGGCTCGCAGGTAACTAAAGCGGGTACCAAGCAGGCAACTCCTCACTAAGCTGTATGTGGGTCTAAAAAAAAGCAAGGTATTCCAGATGATCTTTAAGGTCCCTTCCAACCCCTACCATTCTATGAACTAACTAGCGATATGACAAGAGGACATGGCCTCAATTTGCATCAGGGGAGGTCTGGATTAGATATTAGGAAAAATTTCTTTACTGAAAGAGTGGTCAGGCATTGGAACAGGCTGCCCAGGGAGGTGGTTGAGTCCCCATCCCTGGAGGGGTTCAAAAAATGTGTAGACGTGGCACTTCGGGATATGGTTTAGCAGGCATGGTGGTGTTGGGTGGATGGTTGGACTCGATGATCTTAGAGGTCTTTTCCAACCTATGATTCTATGATTTTGTAAGAAAGACAACTGCTCCACCACTGCACCCTCAGGTGTTCGGGTGCCCAGGCGCCTTCCTTCCTCCCCACCAAGGAAAGACCTGGCCAACCTTTCTTTCTTTTAATAACTATAAAGTTTCCTATGGTGCTGAGCAAAAAATAACCAGTCTCCTACCGAGCTCCTCCCCAGCACGAGCAATGGTGTGTGAGCACAGGGTGACGTCTGGATCCATCTCAGGTGTAGGGGGCTCCAGTGGGTCCCCGGCCCCAGGGCCACCCACCCGTCCGGGGACAGGGACCGGGCGGGCAGAGCCCGAGCACGTGGCTCCCTGCCATTAGCCACTTTCACCGCTGCACCAAAGGTTTAAATTCAGCTTTTTATTACAGTGCACATTACTTTATATATTTATATATAGATGTACTTGAAAAATCAAATGTATCCAATAATAAAAAATACAGCACATTAAAGTAGTATAATGCATTCCAGTGTATAGCTGAAGAGACATCGGGATTTACACTGATCCCTGCTATTTCTGAACTGGGCTACTTCTGCTTTTTTGTCTTTTTTTTTTCCCCCCCTTTCTCCCAAAAAATTCACACCAATCAATAACTGAAATAGTTATGTAAAAAGATGGTCTCTGCGCTCGATCTCGAGGCATGAAGACACTGGAGACTTCACCGTGAGTTAAGGGGCCGTGTTCAATGCTGGCAGGCACACTGTGGCGTATTTTATTTTTCTGTTTTGTTTTCCCTGCCATACTCATAGCTCCAACCCCTTCGGCCTCGTCCCTCCTCTGCTGAAGGAGGGCTGCTCCTCACCCTAGCTTAATCCTCCGCTGTGGCCAGGACCATTGCCTGGGCGAAGGCACGGCAGAACCTTGGTCCCTGGCCGTCTCCGTCCCAGCTGCCTCAACGTCACCAAGCCTCCCCCTCCGTCCCCAAACGCAGCCCGCCATTGCCCCGTCCGGGGCCAAAGGCACGCTTTGTCCCCACGCTCATCCCGGCCGTGCAGCCCGAGGGGAGCGATGCCAGCCCTCTGCTCGGGGCTGGGGTTTTCACTTTTCGCTCTTCTTCCGGAGGAGACGACGTCCCGGCCTCGCAGCGCCGCGGGGAAGGGGGAGCGGGAGGGCGGCGAGCGGGACCGGGGATCCACGCGTGCATCCGCCCTTCCTCGCGCCCGTTTCACTCCACTTTTTTGATAAAAATCTGCAAGGAGAGAGGGCCGGGGTCAGAGGGAGGTGGTGGGGAGCCTCGGGCTGAGCAGGGCTCCCCCTGCGCCGGGGCTCTGCCACCATGGAGCCTGGCTCACCTCGCTCAGGATGATCCACACCGGGGAGTCGGTCTGGATGGAGAGCCTGATGGCCTCCAGCGGCCCGAAGGACGGGTCCACCTCGCCCTCTGCGACACCCTTGGAGAAGGAGCCTGGCGGGGAGAGCACAGGGGTGAGCAGGGAGGGTCCCCCGGCAGCCCGACGGGACCACAAGCAGCCATGGCAGCCCCCTGCCCCCCCAAGACGAGAGACGGGCTGAAACCCAGCAGGGCGGACATCGATACACTGCAAAACGTGACACGTAGGGGAACAAAGAAATCAGCTAAACGCAACAAAATGGGCAGCATTTGGCTATGCATCACCGCTGTGCAAAAGGAGATGCCTGATGGCAGCACTGTCCCGTCAGGGCAGGATCCACGCCCCAGAGCAGGTCTCGCACCTGCAGTGCCAGCAAGGTCTCAGCCTGGTGCTGTGTCCCATTTCTTTCATTTTTTTTATTTTTTTGGAAATGCAACTGGGAGAAACCAGACAGCACACAGAGGAAAGCTAAAATGGCAAAAAGCTACGCGTGCCAGGGAATTTTTCTTTTATTTGTCTATTTAAAAAAAAACACACCAAAACTACTTCTTAGCAGGGACACCAGGGCTTTACCACGCACCCGCGGGTCCCCAAGGCCGCAATCGCTCACTGTTGTCCAAGGGCAGGACAAGCACTAAAAGAAGCTCAGGTGGCAGGAGACAAAGTGGTGGGAGCACCGAGCTGGGCTGCGGAGGGAGAGCGCGACGTCGCCCGTGGTGGAGGTTTTTTAACACCAGGTCAGGCGAATAGGTAATTGGAATAATTTGGTCCCAGCTCTGAGCAGAGACAGGCAGAAACACAGGACTGAAGAGGACCCCCAGTCTGAGAGGGAGGGAGGGCAAGGGAGGGGAGTAGACAGTGACAACTCAAACCTGTGGTTTTTTTTGGACCTGGCTGCTGGCAAGCAGTAATTACTCTTTGCCAAGCAAACAGCACTCAGGGTCTCAAGTCACTTGAAGGTGAAGATATGGGCTGCGTTATCAAGCCCCAGCTGGCAGGTTACCACCCCTGTACCTATCTGGATGTAGCCATCTGGCGTCCTGCGGTATTTGACGACTGTGCCTCTTCCCTCCTGCAAGGCTTCCTTATCCGACTGCAGGCTCTGTGGGAAGGAGAGGACCTTTGTGCAAGGCCAAGTGGCAAGAGCCATCCAAAAGCCCCAAGCAACAGCAGCAACCCCGGAGCTGTCC